ACAAACACCTCATAATCTGCAAACATCTGAGTGAAACGATTTGCAAAAACTTCCCGGATCTGAATGTTTAGCTGGTAAATCCTGAGTTCTTCTTCATCACACTGAACTTTCAGATCCTTATTGCTGCTGGCGTCTTCACGCACTTCCAGCTACAAAAAAGAAACAACAGTTAAAAACACACAAACTTTTACTTTTATCCCAAAGAAATGCAACTCACCTGTTTTCTTCCCCCAGTGGTCATTTACTTTGCAGCAAATGGAGAAAATAAACAAAAGAGGGAAAAAATGAGAAGAAAAAAGAAAGAAAGGGATTCTGACATGGAGAAGAGAGAAATGAAGGTGTTCCACTTGCAGATATCCAGCAATTTAATGGAAGTAGAGATAAGATTCAGCAATAGAGGAAAAAGTCACTATTTATCTCAAGGGTCAGGGGAAGGAGGGAATCTGTGAAGTCAATGAGAAAATGATAAATGCAAAGTAACAAGGCCAGACTCTGGCTCTCCCTTGTCTCTCTGATTTTTCTCCCCCATATCACTTTTCTTTATCTTTCTCCCTAAGAATTTTTCCTTACTATGTCTTTCTTAACCTTTTTAATCTCTCTAAATATTTCTCTGCTCCTCTTTAACTGGCCATGGTTTTTTAAAAATATCGGCTCTACTAACTAAATAAAGCAGGAAAATGAAATGTTTCACACTTCACTAAAAAATTAGCCCAACAAAATGATTACAATGGCCAATTTTGTTTATATGTAATGTACAAAAGTAACTGAACAGTGAGAATGGGGGAGGGTGAAGAGATAGGTAAAAAACTACAGAAAGGAGATAGTCTCATCCAAGCCAGGAAATGGAAAGCTAAGTACCTCCCCAGAAAAAGCACAGGACTACAGTTCAAGAGGATCAGGTCTAGCCTCAGGTCAGCCACTTACTAGGCATTTAATGGAGGCTCTCAAGCTTCGGTTTCTTGAGTTATAAAACAACAATACCTGCTCTGTATGCTTTAGGTTGCTGTGAAATTCACAAGGCAATGGATCTGAAAGAGGTCTGAACACAAAGATTACCACCATCATCCCTCCAATCATTCTGCAGTAGCATTCACATAGATGACAGCAGGCTCTCCTTGATGCCCAAGCGAGAAGCTACCCAGATTTAGATTAAGTAGCATTTACCGGACAATGTTTGCCAGAACTGAATCCAGAGTCTCCGTACAAGAGCATTCTCTCACTGCTCACAAATATGCCTTGCCCAGAACTGAGTGCTTTCTCACCCCACACTTTATCTCACCAGGACAGCACCCTAGCACAGACCAAACCTGTCACAGACTCATACACAGCATCTTACCTTTTCCAGGCTCACCCCAGTCCTCTTGACTAAGGCTTGCAGCCGGGCGATCGTTTCATTCTCCTTGAGGAGCTCGTAGGAATGCAAAGGGGAGCCTGCAATGTTCCCATTCCTCTTGTCAGAGACAAGTTCAGAAGCCCGGAGCCTCTTCAGCTTGGAGGCGCTCTCACTGCAATGAAGGTTCCCTTCAGGGGGAATGCCAAATGCCATGAGAATCTCAGAGACTTCCTGGACAAACTCCAATTTGTTGGGAAACTGAGGCAAGTCCTCGGGCAGCTCAATGAAGTGGTTGTCAATGTCCACAAAGCAGAGGTTGGCCTGGCAGTCAAAACAGGATGAGGAGGGTGAACAACTCCAGAGCATTAAGGAAGAAACTTCAGAAAGGATAATGAACATCAGAGGAAAGAGAAAACATCTGAAAGGGGCAAGTATGAGGTATGGTATAAAGAAGATGCGGCTCACGAAGGAGACAGATCTGAGTTCCAATTTTCCCCTAACACTGTCTAGTAGTATGATGTGGGGAGAGTTACTTAACCTCTCTGATTCTGTTTCCTCAGCTGTAAAATGGAAATACAGAGATAAAAACACTTATCTTAGACAGGGTAAGGATTATGTAATGACACAGATGGTTAGCATCTAGCACAAAAGTCTCACATACAGTAAATGCTCATAGAATGTCTGTTGAATTCATGAATTCTTACACCAGTGAAAAGAACACTAGGAGTGCGTCGAAAAGTCTATCCAGACCTGACTCCATCACTATTTCCCCATATGACCCTGAGCATTCTATTATTCCTTTCTGAGGCTCAGTCCTGATTGGTAAGATTTGGTGGCTGGTCTTGATGATTTCTGTGCTTCCTTCTGCCTTTCATATTGCTTCAAGAGGATGTAGAGACAACACTCTCATACACTGCTGGTGAGATGGGTAATCTGGATTAACAAAGAACAACTTGGCAATATCTATCCATCCTTATTTTACAGACAAAACTGACACAGACAGGTTAAGTAATTTGTCCAAAGTCACACAGCTAGTAAGTAGTAGAGCTGGGATCTGAACTCAGCTAGCCTGACTTCAGTCATACCCATCCACTCTTCTCCTGAGGGGTCTTACACATTTTTTACTCAATTTAATTTAAATATTTTATAGCTCCAGTCCCTGTTGGAATTTTCTTACAGCTATAAATTTAAAAAGCATTTTGAAAAAAAAAAAACGCATTTTGTTTTTTTATATTTATCTTACAACCATGAACCTGTTCTAGCCAAGACAACTGTCATTTCCCTCATTGCAGTGCCTTATTAAATGCTTAAGAGTGTATCTGTTCTATTCATATAACAGGGATAATATTACCTATGTCATAGGTTTGTTTTGAGGATTATGAAACAATAATTGCTGAGGATTTAGCACAGCGCCAGGCCCAAAGTACATAATAAATGTTAATTAACATTGTTATTATCACTGTGGAATATAAAAGATCAATAAATGGATATGTATATAATATTATTGGATAGGAAAAGTCCATAATGAAAAGATGCTAATAATCCCATTTATTTGTGAATTTTTCAAAATCCCAGACAGATTTTTTTTTGAAGGGAGTATCTCGTAAATTGATTCTAAATCTTGCCTAAAAGGATAAAAGAAAAAAATAGCCAAGAAAATTTTGAGGGGAGACTTGCCTTACCGAATTCTAATATAAACACAAAACAATAAATCTATTGGAAAAGAACTTGAACAGTTCCATGTATTGTGGATGGATTATTCAATAAATGGTTTGGGGACATACAACTATATGTTTAGAAATGTTAAAATATAATACCGTACTCAAAAATAAACTGGAGATAGATTGAAGATTTAAAGACAAAAAATAAAGCCATGGGGCCAGCCTGTGGCGTAGTGGTTAAGTTCGTGCGCTCCACTTCCAGCGGCCTGAGGTTCGTGGGTTCAGATCCTGGGCGCCGACCTAAGCGCTGCTTATCAGGCTGGGCTGTGGCCGGCATCCCACATATAAAGTGGAGGAGGATGAGCATGGATGTTAGCCCAGGGCCAATCTTCCTCAGCAAAAAGAGGAGGATTGGCAGCAGATGTTAGCTCAGGGCTAATCTTCCTCATCAAAGAAAATAATAATAATAAAAAAATAAGCCACTTTATTTTCTTAAAAAGAGTATCTCTTAGAGATACATACTAAATATATTTGGATGACATAACAACGCTGTGTGAGATTTGCTTCAAAATAATCCAGTAGGGTGAGTGGGGAGAGGGAAGAGAATATAGAAGAGTGGCAATGAGTTGATGACTCTTATATAATGATGGATGCTAGTCTCTTTATTCTTACACGTGTTCAACATTTTCTGTAACAAAAAGTTAAAAAAGAAAAACCACAGAAGTATTAAAATAAAATATAAAAGATTACTATTCTATCTTAGGGTGGAGTTGGGCTTTCTAAACTTTATGCAAGGCTAAATACTGTAAAGGTAAATACTGCCATAAAAAAATCAGAAGATAAACAATGTAGGAAACAATAATTATCGTATATAACATGTAAAAGGTTAATAGCCAAAGAAATCAATGAGGCAAAGACAATTCACCCAAGTGAAAAATGGGAATAGGTTATAAAAAGCAAACATAAAAGAACTTTCAGTTAATTAACTTCAAATACATGAAAAGATGTTCAATTTCACTAATAAACCAAGAAATGCAAACAAAATATTTTTCACCTACTGGGTTGGCAAAAATTTTAAAGATTTATAGTGTCCAATGCTGGTCAAGTTACCAGGAAACCAATATCTCATACACTGTTACTGGGAATGTAAACTGATAACTCTCTGGGGACAATCTTAAAGACATTTTTTTTCCAGCCCAAACCAAGAACTAGAACATTACCAATACTTTTATCTACCTATGTGTTCCACCTCTATCCCATCCCCCAACCTACACATTCCCATCTCTATTACTCTCAGTAACCATTATCCTGAATTCTATATTTATTATCTTTTTGCCTTTTGTTTTTAAATCTATCACATATTGGCCGGCCCTGTGGCTTGGTGGTTAAGTGCGCGCGCTGCGATGCTGGTGGCCCGGGTTCGGATCCCGGGTGCGCATCGAGGCACCACTTCTCCGTTC